CCCTTACTAATAATAAAATACAACAGAGAGAGAGAGAGAGAGAGAGAGAGGAAGAGAGTAAAAAAAAAATGCTTACTTGCCAGCAGTTCCGGCTAATTGAAATTGTTCGAAATTAAGTTTTACTCGTTGTTTTGGTGCCGCAACAAACGTATATATACACTGCAATATTTTAAAATTTACCTCAAATTAAACCAAAAAAGTTAATTAATTAAATTCAAAAAAAATGTTACCTATTTTAAATTAATACTTAAATTTTAATAATTTCAAAAAAAAACCCAAATATTCGAAATTATGGTTTAATTTATTAAATACAATAAAAAAAAAAAACAAACAAGTACTCTTACTTGAAAATTTTTTGGACCTTCCGGTCGTGAAATTTGTTCAGAAATGGTAGCTGAAGGTGGCAACATCGGTAATTGAAATTCACCTTCCGGAATAGATGAATCGAAGATATGATCACATTCTAAAGCTTCCTTACGGAATATTCTAACTACATTCTACACCCGTTATTATTTTCATATGATTAATGATGTTGCTTCATTGTTTTACGATATTTCATTCTTATCAAGCACTATTTAAATTCTACTAATTAATTAATTAATTAATTAATTAACTGTCTTTTCATTCTTTTTTATTTTTATCTTTTTTGTTAAATCAAAATTTACATTCTTATCAAGCACTATTTAAATTCCACTAATTAATTAATTAATTAATTAATTAATTAACTGTCTTTTCATTTTTTTTATTTTTATCTTTTTTGTTAAATCAAAATTTACGTATGTGTATGTGTGTGTGTATGCACACATGTGGGGTATTTATGTCTTTAATTAATTTGTTTTCATAGCTTAATGGTTTTTTTTTTTTTTAGCATTACTATCAGAATCTAGTGCTAATTAAAACTTATCATTATCTCATCCCAATTAAAACTTATCAATATTTCGCTTCTATTAAAGCCTAGCTTAGTATCTTATCTTAATTAAAGCTTATCAGTTTAGCTTAGTATTCCATCCTATTTGAAACTTAATACAGTCTCAATTTAGTTAAAACTTAACAATATTCCGTCTTAACAAAAAATCAGGTTTTAATTAAAAGTTAGCCGTTCCGCATTTTAATTTTTTCGTTAATTACTAATTAATGCTTAATAAAACTTACTCTTCATATGATAGTACACCTTTGAGCCAGAAGAATAGAATAAGGATCAGAAGACATGCAATGACACCAATTAATAGTAATGCAAAAATAATGTCACAATCCAAACTGCGACAAAATGCGCAATCTTCTTTCACTTCCGCATTTTTTTCATTATTTAATAAATTAATTCGAGCTTCTAATACACGTTCCAATGTGCGCATTTGCGCCATTTCGTTTCGTTCTTTTTTTTTTTCCTTTTTTTTTTTTGTACGATTGAAAATACAAATTTTTTTTGCTTTCTTTTTTTTTTGTTTTTCGTTTTTTTGAAATAAATTAACTGAAAAAACAATGATAATAATAATAATACCAAAAGGTTAAAGGTTAATAACAAAGTAATCCAAAAATTGTCATCGTTTAATTATTAATTTAATTTAAAATGTATAAAATATGGATAAATGTAATGCTCCAATATGATCAGTTATCAATAATACAAAATTTACGAAATGATAAATAAAATAAAAATCATTGAAACCTGATATGCAAAAATTTATTTTATTAAAAGAAAAAAAAAACGACAAATTTTTTCATATGTTTGTTGAAATTTAATTGCAAATTTTTGAATTTTACTGTTTTATTGAAAATTTTCTTTGAATTTTACTGTTCTCATTAAAATTTTATAATTGAAATAGATTTAAAAAAAAAATTTACTCTTTTTTCATTCAAACTTATAACTTAAATAATACGAATAAAGTAAACTTAAAAATTTGAAATTTGAAATTCAAAATTTTGATTCAAAAAAGAATAACAACCAAAAAAGAAACTTCAAATTATTAAAAACATTTAATATATATGAAATGCAACAAAAAATATTAAATAAAATTAATTAAAAAAAAGCTTTTTTCCCAATAAATAATTTAAAACATATAAAATTTATTAATTTGCTAATTTTCACTAATAAAATCAAACGACTGAACGAAACAGTAATGGAATTTGTGGAAATGAATGAATGAATAATTACCGGAAAAGTTTTTGGAATTAAACCGAAAAGAAAAATGAGAAAAAATTATTCTTAAAATTTTGAAATTTATTCTTGCAAATAAATTTTGAAATATTTGCAGCAAGGAAAAAAAAAAGAAAAAAGAATTTCCGGTTATTTTAATAAAAAAAAAAAAAAACTATTCATCTGCTATGAATGGCATATTTTATTGCCGGAAATTGTTTAATCAACTAGCACAAAATGAAAATTCCTATTACTGATCCGATTGATAAATAATATTTCGGAAAAAAAAAATAAACAAATTTTAGGATCTGAACGGACAAAAATTGATAAATTCCGGATATTAATGTTTCTCATTATGTGTAATTTCTTTCTTTTTTTTTTTTTTTTTAAGTTTTATTTACATAAAATGTTGTTTGGTTGATATTACAACATACACATACATTCTATCGTTTTTTTTTTTTTGCTATTGCTTAACTTTTAATTACTTACCTAAATTTCATTACTTACCTTTTTTTTTTAATTACTTACCTAAACTTTGTTACTTATCAGTTTTAACAAATGTGATAGAAGTTTCTAACAAAACTTTGTTTGAATCATTATTATTTTATGTTTGATGCGATAAAATCTGGATCAAATTTTACTTTGAAATTTCTAATTGATTATAGCATTTAATTAAATTAAAATATTTTTTCAACTTCCTTTCTTGAATTTTATCATTACTTTGCATATAGAGTAAAGAAAGTAACAAAAATTATGATTTAAATATGATTAAATTTCATTAAAATTTGAATTCAATTTCTATCGATGCAATTTGAAATGTTTGAAATTTTATTTGTATTGCCCATATATTTATACGTTGAATTTAAATGTAAACTTATGTGTAAATTTAAATTCCGATATTATATTAAAATCATTAAAACGTTATTTATTAAGAGTAATAATCATTATTTGATAAGAAATGATATCATTCGCCTAATCTACGTTATTGTATAGAATTATCCATTTCAGTGAATTAATTCTAGAACAATGGTAAATTTCCTGTATTTCTGCTACTGGTCAGTGATGGTCAGTAAAGACGGTCAACAAAGTCAAAATCAATAAACTTAACAAAATATATGAAAATAATGGTCAGTAAAGCAATCAAAAGTTGGTCAGTAAAGTAGCCACCAGTAAATAAAGTTAACAAAATACATGAAAATACAACTTAAATGATAAAAGTTCAATTATGCTATTATTTCATTAAATCATAATTAATTTAATTAACAAACAAAGCGAT